AAAGGGGGGGGGGGGGGGTCTAAATATTAGACTTTGGTAATTTTGAAAAAGTGCAAGTCAGAATGTTGCTTTTAAATAAATAGCTCGTAAAATAATGAAACATAAAATAAAAATAAGTAGATAAATAGATGCACTCTTTAACTTGATTAGCTTTTCATATATATATATATTTATATCTGATGAAAAATTTTGCTTTTAAATAAATAGCTCGTCAAATAAAATAATAAAAATAAATAATAAATAGTAAAACAATCAAATAAAAATAACAAAAGATGCACTGATAGTTCTTAGACTTCAGTAAATAAGGAAAAGTACAATTAGAAATACTCTTAAATAAATGGCTGATAAAATAAAACAAAATATAAAATATTTTTAATATAAAATATAAAAGTATAACACTTCAGTAAATAATAAAAAATGTGTTTAAGAATGTTGCTTTTAAATAAATACCTGGTAAAATAAAATAGTAAAAGGAAGTTAAAAAAATTAATAAATAAAACAATATAATAAATAGATGCACTGATGACTTGATAAAATTAAATAAAAAGTTGCATGATATTTCATTTTGATTATTTTGCAGATTTGTACTTGTTTAATTTGCCGTAATGTAAATGGTTCTTAGACTTAAGAGAAAGTTGCTCTTAAATGGCTTGTAAAATAAGATCAAATAAAATAAAACATAAATAGATGTTTCATCTTGACTTTTTTTGTTTGTTCTTTTTTTGTTCTTTGTGCCTGGTTCTTAGACTTCAGTAAATAAGGAAAAGCGTGATTGCAGGCAGTTTTTCTCTGGAACAGTGTATGTGAGCTCGGAGGAAAGCGTCCCCCGTGTGCTACAAACCCATCCTGACGAATAATGTGCTTTGCGTTGAGTTGTGCTGGTTTTGTGCTCTTTAATGAATGAAGATCTGCCAGCTGCCGTCCTTTGTGCTGTTTGCTGGTTCTGGCAGGTTTTCAGTTTTTCGAGCAATCAGCACATTCTCATGAAATATAAACACATTTGCCTTGTTAAGGGTCTGATCTGCGGTTACGCCACAAGCCCATTTGATTCCCACTCAAACTGAATCTGAATGTGTTTGTGATGTTTTTCATCGCAGTTTCTGTTCAAACGATCACATGCTCAGTGATCAGAAGGCAGGCGGCATCTTTACATTTCTAGCATCACTGTACAGGTGCATCTCAATAAATTAGAATGTCGTGGAAAAGGTGGTGTATTTATTTGTTCTTTAAATGGCACTATTTGTGCTTTTCTCTTCAGATGATGTACACTTCACTCCACTGAGGCCTGAGATTATTGACCAAGCTGGTTTAGAGATGGTAGACCACTTTGGACCGGAAACAAACCAGCTACATTCCAAAAACCAGCTTATACTGTATGATACAGTGTGTTTTCTAGAAGGAATACAGACCTGGTATTTAGCTTGATTATTTATTTATTTTTGTAAATCTAGCACATTTGCAGGTGAACATGAAATCCAGTCTTATTATATTTTTTATGTCGTTTTTAGATTTGTGTACCTTATCTGACCCTCTTTTACTTTGCCCTCCAAAACACACCTGGTCTGAACAACCATCCTCCCATATTTATTTATGAAAATATACAGATATTTATTTATGGAGATGTTCTACAGATGTGCTTGTAAAGGTGACCTTCAACGTCTAGATGTTTTTTATCCTGCTGTTCTTACATTTTCTGTCAATTTTGAAAATACAATGATTTCTACCAGTTTGTTTGTTTGTTTGTTTAAAACATTTGTAAATGATTTAGATATAACATTTTATGGCTGCAAGTTATTTATTTTTTCATTATTTGCATAAATTGTTGTATTTAAAGTGTTAATTATTATTCCTCATTGTTCTCCTACTCCCCTTAAAGATGAAAAGAAGATAAGAATGTTGCTCTTAAATACCTGGTTAAATATGTATTTATTTATTTATTTGCATATGTAATATTTATTTGCTCCCCTTAAAGAGGAAAAGATATTGCACTGGTTAATACAAATGTTACACCTGTTTAAATAAATTAATAGATATACATGCATGCATGCATGTATGTATCTAATTTTTAATTATGCATAAAAATATGCATTAAAATTTTGCTCTTATTTATTTATTTATTTATGCCCCTTAAGGGAAAAGAGAAGATATTGCATTGCTGTAAATAATAATGTTGTTCTTCAACAATTATTTTATTATGGTAAAATAAAATAAAATAAAAGCAATATTTAATAGTAGGCCTATATAACAAGTTTTAACCTAGGACCCTCAATATAAAACTCTTGATTTCCTCAGTAACACATTATGTTAACTTTAATAAAGAGCATTTGTATTGCATTGACCATTTACTACTTCGCAAATCAAGGTTAATTAATTAATAGTATGAGATGTGATGAATCCGTTCCGTGTTTGTGTTTTATATTCTCCACTGACAGACCCCAGTGACAGTGAGCGGGTCCCGTGAATGATGATGGTCGGTGCGGCGCTGACATGCGCAGTGCGCGGATGCTGTTCGGTCGATGTGTGTGTCCGTCCGCTGATTTCATCTCACACACGCGCTCCTCTCCTCCATCCTGTAGGATCTTCCTCCGGAGCGGCGGCGGGGTTTTACGGTACGTGAGTCTGTTTGTATATGTAAATAAACGCGTTTGCAGCAGCGCGCGCTGGACGCGTCTCAAAGCAAGACGCTCGTGCAGCATGTCTGGAGGTAAACACACGCGGCGTTGAGATGAATGCAGCGGGGTTTTTTTTTCATGCACTTCATAGCCAGCAATCCAACAGCAATTTTGGACATAAACAGTCGTGTTCCAAGTCAGCGCTAGTTTGGACATCAGAACTGTGTGTGAAGCAATTTTGAACATGATAATAGACGTATTCCAAGTCAACAGCAGTTTTGGGCATCATATGTGTGTGTGTAGCATTTTTGGGCATATCATAATAGACACTTCCAAGTCAGCAACATTTTATGACTCTGCGTCTATGATGCAGTTTGTAGGTTTTGAGAAGCAGCCTGTGTATGAGACGGCCTGTTGCAGTGAATCTCATGTTGACGTCTGGAGAAGGTGTTTTAGGGTTTTATTTTTAGGACTGTGTAATGTGTTGTTTTTGTTTACAGCCAAATGACTTCATGAGCTGATGGGGATGTAAAGAAAATCACTGATTTACTGTGGTACATGAACACTTGTTTTAGTAAAGTGCAGAAAAAATCTATCTATCTATCTATCTATCTATCTATCTAAAGCAAAAGCTTTTGTTAATTCTTTAGTTAAATTCAACTGATGGATATGCTGTTGTGCACTATCTATCTATCTATCTATCTATCTATCTAAAGCAAAAGCTTTTGTTAATTCTTTAGTTAAATTCAACTGATGGATATGCTGTTGTGCAGTGATTGTTCACTGTATTTTATTTTGCGTTCCCAATGTATGTGTACTTCTATAATGTGACCTATTTAAGAAAACCCACAGGGTGGAACTCTATTTTATTCATTAGGAATTGATTGGATCATGAAAAGGGGTGTTTCATAGCAGAATGAAAGTCGTGGTTTGGAGGGAGGAGGTCGAAAGTATGTGGGATTCATGATGTCAGATGAAAAGGAAAGTCAGTTTAGAGGCAGAGCAAGTTCTTACAATTTGTCAAACTTTTTTTTTCTTCAGAATGTGCACTGACATATGGAAGCCTGTTTCCACCACAATTCTAACTGTTTTCTTGCAGTTCTGACTGTTTCTCACAATTCCAAGTTTACATCTCACGATTCCGAGTTTAAATCTCACGATTCCGAGTTTACATCTCACAATTCCAAGTTTATCTCATAATTCTGAGTGTGTATCTCACAATTCCAAATTTACATCTCACAATTGCAAGTTTACATCTCAGAATTCGGAGTGTATTTCTCACAATTCCGAGTTTACATCTAACGATTCCGAGTTTACATCTAACGATTCCGAGTTTACATCTCACGATTCCGAGTTTACATCTCACGATTCCGAGTTTACATCTCATGATTCCGAGTTTACATCTCACGATTCCGAGTTTATATCTCACAGTTCCGAGTTTATATCTCACTTTTCCGAGTTTATCTCTCACAATTCCAAATTTATATCTCCTAATTCCACATTTATATCTCACAATTCCAAGTTTATATCTTGCCATTCTGATTTGTTTCTGCCACAAAATAAAAAAAGGTAATTTATATCTTGTAATTCTGTCTAATGTAATTCTGCTTAGGGCTGCACAATTAATCGAAATTAAATCGCGAAGGCAATAAAACGTGATTAGGCAGAAGCTGCGATTGTCATGCATATCTTTCAGTGAAGCACGGTTCTGTGATCAGCAGTAAATCTCCATCCGAAGGCCAGAGGGCGCTCTCGCGCTGAAACTCCAAATATGCCTCGCAGAAGAAACCCAGGAAATGCCTATAGTGGTTGCTGAATAAACAGAAGATTTAACTGCTTTCATTATTTCAACGTGACTAATAAACACTCGACATAGCCTTTATCACTGCTTAGAATACTATGAAATATGTTGCGTGCCTTATTCTGTGTAAGAAGCCACATCATCTCACAGAAGGATTTATTTCAAACACTCGACTGACGTTATGAAGTGAGTTTGGAGTAAAAACATGTTATTAAATGTGGTATTTTCACATGCTTTCAGATGAACTCTTTCTACGACTCTGTGTAGTAAATTCTGCTCCGTCTGAAAGCAGCTGATGATGATTTCCTGCTGATTACAGAACCGGCATTACTATCAAAATG